TACTCGTCCCCGCGCCCGCATGCTCCCTTCCGGGGGCAGGGAGGCGGCGGCGGTGCAGCCCGGCTTGCTTGCGGTCCGGCGGCCCTGCGACGGCGGCTGGCGGCAGGCGTGGTGACGGCGGGGCGGTGTGGTAGTGTTGGGCCCTAGCGGGCCGGCCCCCCAGCGTGGTCTCGTTGTCTGCGGCGTGGGGAGGTGGAGGAGCGGCTCGAATATGGGGCGTCGGCGCCGATGGCGTGCCAGCAGCAGCGCGAAGGCGGGAGCTTTACGGGCCCATGAGGGCTCGGCCGGGCCTGTGGGCCTACGGGCCTGGTGTGCTCCCGCTATTGCATCCGGATGGCTACCGTCGCTAACGGTGGAGGTGGGGCCCTCCCGCGTGCCGACGGTGCTGATGCCCTGGTCCTGGCTCTGATTCTTCGTCGCGCTGTCCTTACTTCGCAGTGCCGTGGTGAGACGGCATGGGGGCCTCATGACCGCGTTGGCGCAGGGTGGTGGTTGGTTTGGTGGCTGGATCTGGAGCGCCCGAGGTGTGGGTTGGGATCGGGGAAACTCCTGTCGGCGTGGCCGACTCCGGCGCGGTGGCGCCTGTAGGTGCCACCTGACCTTCCGGGAGGGCGTCGGGGGCTACCCTTCCTCTCGCCTCGTCGTGTATCGGGGGAAACTCTTGGAAGCAGCGTCGTCATCGCCACGATCCTTCTTGGAGGTGTTGATTGGTGCCGGCGCTTCGGAGTCTTGGAGCCTAGTGGAAGAGCTCGGTGGGCGCAGCGATCGCGAGGCTTCTTCGTTTTTGTTGATCTGCCGTTGTCGGCATTTGTTTCTTTTGCTCTTTCTCTGTCGTTTCTTTTGGGCGTGATTGTGCTGCTTCCGCCCAGCACCTATCCCTGTATGGTTTGGTTGGTTGCTTTGTATACAAAGCGGGGGGAAACCCTTTTTCGGTAAAGCCACCAGGGACACAACAAGCAAAACTAACGAAGAGGAGCACGGGACCCCCTCTCTCACCTCCCCGGCCGGCAAGGCCACCGGATCTGGGAGAGAGAAGGGTCAGAGTAGGAGAAAGGAAGGGGAAGTGCCATAATCTTGTGGTACCTTAATCGCCGTTCATTCGCCTGTTCTGCGAGAGCCTTGAGCTCCTCGATCCGGCCGGCAATCCGGTGACGCACCCTCAGCGTCTTTAGGCGCCGAGACATCCTTTTCACGAAACCTGCACCGGCGTTGGCATCGGCACCTCCAATATCCTGCATGAAGTCATCGATGCAATTCTCCATGTCATACGACATCTCCCTGACATGGTCCCTCCAGTTCTTGGTATCTGGCTCCAGCTTCTCCATGTACTCTAGCTTCTCAAGGGCAGCGTTCATGGCGCTGAGCTCGTCCTTTAGAAAAGCCACCTCCTTCCTCACTCCTTTGAGCTTCTTGTACTCATCTCCCATGAGCGTGGTGAGCTTGCTGATGAGGGGGTTCATCACCCCCGCCGCGGCGCTCACGATTGGCATTGCCATCTCGAACTTAGTCTACTTCCTCTCTCGGTTCACTAGCGAGCTAGCTGTGTTTGCAGTGTGCGCGCGTGAGAAACAAGCAAAGGCTGGTGAAGAGAGCTGCCTAACTTGATGGTGCAATCTACTGTATATGTATGCTACTGCAATCCTTTAAATTCATATTATTTCCACCCTCGAGATCCACATTCATTAGTTTATGTAAACAGTCTGCAGACTGTACTGGAAATTAATTATTTACGTTGCATCGGGGGAGCATTTCTATGTCTGTGGAGTGTGGAGTCGTTTAAGCCAAGACGATGCTTAGTGTCTGGCTCTTACAAAGTACTCCCCACTCATCATATTGCCGGGTGTGGAGTGGGGAGCGTAGAGTTTGCAGGGTGGAGTGTGGAGTAGATCCAGTACAACGTTATTGGAAGGGAAATAAAATTAATAATCTGTAGTTCACTTGTTTTGTGCATGGCATATAATTCGGCCGCCCTGCCAAGTCTAAAAAATAATTTTATATTTTGACGTAGTATGCTACTAGCCACTAAGATCTCAAGCTTAGTCTCGCTCACTAGCCAGTAGCCACTAAGCTACGTTTGTCTGCGGCGAGCTGTAGTACGCACTGGCTTGATGCAGAGAGCAGAATGATGCTTAGCAAAATCCATGTCATAAATCTACAGTTCCACCCTGCTGTAATCCTTGATTCGAGCACCATTAGCACTATATTTCCCCAAAATTTGCGGAAGCTTTTTATTTATTCTTGAGAGATTCACGGCAGTACACTCCAAGGAGAGGGACGAGACTTGCCTGCTCCCTCCCCGTGCTCCCATCCGTGCTCCCGTGTACATGGCTTGATTTGATTGGTAGAAAATAAGGCCCGGCCCCACTCCCTGAAAATCAGAGGAGGGGGGGGGGGAAGATGATTAGATTAGAAAAGAAAAAGAGAAAAGGACAGCCGTAAGATGAAGTGGGAGCACGGATGGGAGCATGGGAAGGAAGCAGGCAAGCCGGATCCCAAGAAGAGCTGCGTGCTGTACCTTTTGCAATTGGTTTAGATAATTAATTGTCACCTATAGATCCACGCCGGGGTTAACCTAATGCTACCTTTTGCAATTGGTTTAGTTATTACTTAATTGTCACCTATAGATCCACGCCAAGGTTAACCTAATGCAATCATATATACGCAAGAATCAGTATGCATGTTTTGTGTCGGGTGGTTTGATAAAGCCTAGGTAGACGGTACAAATAGGGGCTTAAAACATACACGCCTGGTCACTGACCAGACACATCTACAGGCGTTTAAGGGTGCAGATTTGCCAAGTCTGATGATAGATGCTCCTAGTTGAATCCTTATTTGTGCGTACCGTACTTTCTCATCCTTGCAATTTATAATTAGTTTATATAAGAGTATTATGCAATGTCATTGAAGTAAAAAAGATGAAGTGCAATGCCACCAAAGTAAAAGAAAAGGATAAATTGAAAGAAAGAACTACCACAATTGATGTTATGGCTACAGCCAAATATTTTTCTTCGATGATATTCCCTCCGTTCTAAAATAGATGACTCAACTTTATACTAACTTTACTAAAATTAATACAAAGTTAAGTCATCCATTTTGAAACGAAGGAAGTACCTATCAAGCAGAATTTAGCTAAAAACATTGATGGCACAGCTGGTTAAAACTGAGCGCGATCATGACAGGGATGGGCCACAAACTAGCGTTGACGTGGCAAAGTTAATGTTTGTTTGTTTGACCACATTGGACGTTATGACAGGGAGCCCATATGTCAGTTCTATCTCTCTCTCCCTCCATAAAATTCCCCCGTGGGAAAAAAATTCTGGTCAGCGGCCTCCATTGTTGCCGATCCATCTCTGCCCTGTGTCGCGTCACTGCCGCCAGGAACTAGCGACACCCTTCTTGCATCTTCCCCACATGAAGCACCGACTCACGTTGTCCCCTTCCTCGGTCGAGCTAGTAGAAAAAGGCCATTCGAACCGGTTTGTGAGAGCCATTTGTCCCGGTTCATGAACCGGGACTAAAGGGTCGTCACTAAAGCCCCACACCTTTACTCCCGGTTCGAACAGGAACCGGGACAGATGGGGTTCCACGTGGCCGGAGCGGCTTGCCTAGGTAGGAAGGGCCTTTGGTCTCGGTTGGTGCCACCAACCGGGACCAAAAGGCGCTGATTTTTTTTTGAAAAGGCGGGGGAGGGGGGGGTTGTAGGGTTAATTGAGGGGGCATGGGGTTGTAGGGTTAATTTAGGGGTTTCATATATTGTGTTAGCTCGCTAACAGAGATGAGTGTCCTCTCTTATATATCTCTGTGCTTGGTCGCCGCTACGTATAGACTCGACACGCTAGTTAGCTAGTAAGCAAATGAAGGAAACCATTAAGTACAGAAGATCGTTATGAACATATAAATAGAGAGAAGTGATCGACCTCTCCTTCTCCGATAGATTGGTCGAACAACAAGTTTTCGTATATCTATCCAACGCTACAATATATAAGATCTCTTACGTCCCCTAACATCTGAACTCAATTTCCACATGATATTCTCCGTGTTTGTCGATGACGTGGTCAAGAAAGAATCCCGCCAATTCCTCTTGAATTGCTTGTATGCGATCTTGTGGTAGGAGTTCATCCCGCGTCTGCCACATCTAATTTCAAGATGGGGGTCAATACATATATATGAATGAAACTGAACACAAATGATGGTAACAAAAAAATTGTGAATATTATTGCTTACGCACTTCATATTGTTGTTTAGAGTAGCCCCGCTCACAGGTGGTGTGGTGGATGAACTCGCAAATGTAGTATTCACAGAAATCATTCCCGCGTTCCTGCCACAACCACTTTACAAGAAATAGAGGTCAATCAAACTGATAAGCAAGCATGGTAAATGGTATTGATGAAACTAGCTAGATTCAATGGGAGATGCGCGGAACTAGCTAGTAGCTAGTACTTACATTCGGGTGGTCAAATTGCAGTTGCGCCGGCAGTCCCGGAGCTTGTGCGGTGAACTTTTTTCAAACCCTGCCAGATAAAGAAAACAATTACTTGATATCAGGAAATGAACAAAGTTGCCGATATGGTGCGATAATGATCGATTGAACTTACTTCTCAAGCATTTTAGTCATGGTCGCATACTCCTCCGGATTTTTCCGTTTGGAGTCTATGACTGTTACTAGTCCCTGCTCAAGCTTAATCTCTAGCACAATAAAGTGGAAGCTGCGCATGCATGCATAACTCATCAGTTACATTACTATAACCTCGAGTATGATAAGAGAAACCGAATATGCAGAAGACAATAACACTCACTTGAAGTTGTAAGGAAAGAGTATCGTAGCTTTGTTTTGATTTCGAAGTAATGATGCGAGCAACTTGGCCTCGGTTTCTCTGGCATCATGTTTAACACTCCATTCATCCATGAGATTTGTGTTAATGAACCCAATATCACCTACTTCTCTTTTCTTCAATTCGGCAATCTTCAATCTGCATAATATAGTGAGGATAATTATATATACATGCAATGAAAGAGATGAGCCATATATAGAGACTTAACTAATTACAGAGAAGTAGTACTTACAGACAATAGCAAGTGATGATTGTTTTATCGAGGGCCTTTTGATTGAAAAACTGGAAGAACTCCTCATATGCAACTAACAACACATCAATTCCAACGAGGTCGTGGTCCTCTTTAACCAATAGCGACCAAGTATTTTTTAGACTTCCTGCAGATGTTCATGTACCAATCATGGAGTCTTTCGTTGTTCGAGAAGTACCAGGTATGAAGAGAGGCTTCCCTTGCTCGAATCTTAATGTGTCCACCTCCATTGTTCCAAAAATCATTGTATCCTCGTCGGTCATGTAATCTGCAGGATTGGTACCGGACAGCACCCCCGGAAGATTAGCGACGATATCGCTAGACACATTGAGCGGGGGGCACGATTGCTTCGCTTGTTCGCCAAGCTGGGGAATTTATTTCCCTTTTGTTCGTTCTGCTAGCCTCCCGCCTCTGGCTATACTGCTAGATGCCGGAGCAGCCGGAGCGGATGCGGCTGTCTTCTTTCGTTGCTGAAGAGGCGGAGCAACTGGAGGCGGGCTGCTATGACGCGCCTGAGCACCCGGAGCGGCTGCGGCTGTCTACTTTCGTTGCTGAAGAGGCGGAGCAGCCGGAGGCGGACTGCTACGACGTGCCTGAGCAGTTGGAGCGGTGGCGTCTGTGTTCCGTTGTCACTTACGAGGCGGCGAAGGAGGAGGCGGGCTGCTCAGATGCGCCAGAGCAGGCGGAGAAGGAGGCGGAGTACTGCCGCCCTCACGCGCCGGAGCAGGAGGCGGAGTGCCTTGATGACTCGCCGGAGGAGGAGGAGGCGGAGTGCCCAGCTGGCTAGCAGGAGCCATGAAGTTCAGAAGCTTGATGTGCTTCTTTCGCCATAGACACGGAGTATGCATAGCAAGACCCAGTTGAGTCTCCCCATCACCTGTAGGGTGGTCAAGCTGGAGCTCCTCAAAATCCCTCCGTTATTTCGTCCACCATCACAACAGCATAGCCTTGTGGAATCATACTATAGTGAAAAGTTGCTCCGGGTGAAGGAGGGAACACAGAGTCGACAGCCGCCTTGACTTTGAGCTGAAGCCATTGTGTCATAAGGTGGCACTGGTGTGAATCCATGATAAAATCCACGGGGTAGCTAGGACCCGTCAAGTCGAGCTCGGTGGAAGCCACGCTGCTTCTCCGCTGAGATGGCGGGGTAGCTTCTGGGGTAGCATCTTGGGCAGGATCTCGCAGCTGCTGGTTCTCAACATCTCGTTCCTCTAGCTTTCTTACCCTTGCCTTAAGCTCCTGGAGTTTGCTTTGCTCCACTTTCCTCCTCCTCTCTTGGGTTTTTGTAACCGCCTGCGTCGGGAAACCCAACCTTCCACACAATGGAGCCTGGCGTGCCTCGTGTTCGTCCAGGGTGCTCAGGATTCCTGAGGGCCCTTGTGAGCTCGTCGTTCTCTCTCTCGGGAACGAACTT